CCGCGGGCCATAGTTTGCCCACCTCTGGTTTAGCCTCAGCTCTGACAGCCCCTTACAGGAATAACTGATATAATTCACAACCACCAAAACACACCTGCTTTGGTTAAAAACTTCCAAGCAGTCAAAACCAGATGATTGAGCGCATGTGTTTACTGCTTAATATCTGGATAACTATACAGCCATCATGAATGTTAAATTAAAACATAATTACACTTCAGTAATATTAATAAGAATGAGGTGTGGGCACCAAGTGGTTAAGGCGCTTGACTGCAATCCTGAAGGTTGTGGGTTGGAGTCTCACTTGATCTCACACTGAGAGATCGCCTCAGGTTCACCCAACTGCAAAGTGGGTACCTGATCCATAGAAGATAGGGAAGTCCAACACAGTTGGATATGATGCTAGCCATACCATTCCCTTGTTTATCTTAAAGGTGTATTGCCTGATGATCCATATTGACTTTGAATATTAACAAGCCATATGTCTCATTCACAGATAAAATATTTCTGGTCAGAAATGTCACAGAGGCATTTCTGTCAAGTATCAGAGGGGTAGCCGTGTTAGTCTGAATCTGTAAAAAGCAACAGAGGGTCCTGTGGCACCTTTAAGACTAACTGAAGTATTGGGAGCATAAGCTTTCGTGGGTAAGAACCTCACTTCTTCAGATTCAGGCTTGCATCTGAAGAAGTGAGGTTCTTACCCACGAAAGCTTATGCTCCCAATACTTCTGTTAGTCTTAAAGGTGCCACAGGACCCTCAGAGGCATTTCTGTTATCCTGATCATTTATTGTTTTTACATCATTTCCTGTTTATTTCCTAAGGAACCTAAGGACATGAAGAATAATTACATTGAGTGTAACCTATGTAAATGTAATAATTTCACATTGGGAAATGGTAAAATAATCTATATTTGTCCTTGTATTTTCTCTCCTGTCACCATATTGCCATGTAGGGTTTATCTTATGTTGTGGATGATCCCATCTTATCAATAAGCTGTTCAACACCATTTAAGGTACAATTTACAAATTTAGCTCTGATTTTATCAAATGTAGATGCACCTAACAAATTATCTGGTAGTGACCATCAGTATGTACAATACTTTGCCATTTCCTGACAAAGAGTTTAGATCATGTTGACCAGAGATGGGCCCAAATTCCAGATTCAAACACTCAAATTTTAAGTGCTAGAAATCAGAATTGGGATCTGAATTTTGTGGCTGGTGTCCATCTCTGTGGTTGACATGTTACAAGCTAAATGTATGAAGGTGCATTACAGCAGAAAAAAATCAGAGATTGTCTATATGTGCACAGGCATCATGTCTCATCATTTGGAAATTTAGCAAACTATGTTAAATTTCCCTCATACATTGCTCAATGCTCATCATATTCATGGAATCACAAGGTTAGAGAATCATGCATTTGATTTTCATGAATCAAAGGTTTCCAAAAAAATTGTGGGGTCCATTTTCCCCCCAAAAATGTAATATGTTACAACATATGTGGCTGAGTTTCAAGATGAAAAATTGCCAAGTGGTATTTTCTAGTCATTGAATAACTTCTCTGTGAGGTATGCACATATAGCACAAAGTTTTGACGTTTTGTCTTAGTTTTATTGTTTAATGTTGGACTTTTATGCACTGCATCTGCTGTATTCAAAACAGAAAGTATATGCAGAAGCTTTTTTTATTGCTCCTGTTCAAGTGAGAGCATAATAACAATTTCTCCATTACACACGTTATTAAATTAAAATACAACTTATGTACGTGTATAACTTCATATTTTTATTTTCACAGCCTGTTTATTCAATTGCCTTGTAATTAACATGGTCCAGTTGTTGTTTGTCATTTAGTTACTTATGTGTCATCTTTCAGGTGCTTATGCTTTTTACATGCTGTCTTTTTTAATATTCATTTCTGATTTAAAGTACAGTATAGCACAAACTGTCTGGCTTTAAATGTATATTACAAAGGACTCGCCTGACAACCTATCTCCCCTACTAGAGTTTTATCCTTTTGGAACACTTTTGAGGCATACCATAGTAGAACTATGGGCATGTCTATACTACACCCTAAGTCGATCTAACTTACATCCCTATGGGGTGTGAAAAAGCCTCCCCTCCCCCAAGCGATGCAAGTTTCACGCTGTCCACACCGGTGCTACGTTGGCAGGAGATGCTCTCCTGCCGATATAGCGTACGCTTCTCACCAAGGTGTAGTAATTATGCTGACGGGAAAGCACTCTCCCGTCGGCACAGCATATCTTCACCTGAGGGGCTACAGTAGCATAGCTTCATCAGTGCAGCTACACCGACGTAGCGCTGTAGTGTAGACTTGCCCTCAGTCATAGACGTCTGCTTTGGACATTGCTTTCCGCTTGAACTTTACAAATGAATTCACAAACTTTCACCTTAGCAACAGGCCTCGTCCAACTCTCAGAAAACTGAATAGAAAGACTCCCATTCACTTGGATGGGACTTGAATCAGGCCCAGAAGCTTTTCCATCTCCCCAAGTTATTAATAATGGAAAACTTGATCCTTTTTTTTCTTTTTAACAATGGCTCTTCAAAAAAATGTATAGTAAAAGCCTGATCTTATTTTATGGAATATACATGATATTTATTTGCTTTTCAACAATTTTCTTGAGAGATAAGGTGGGTGACGTAGTATCTTTTATTGGACCAACTTCTGTTGGTGAGACAGACAAGCTTTCGACCTTACACAAAGCTTTTCTTCAGAACTGGGAAACTAACTCAGTGTCACTGCTAAATACAAGGTTTGAAAAGATATGCTAAACAATCTGTTCAAACCTTGTATTTAGCAGTAACACTGAGTTTTTTCCACCCAGACCTGAAGAAGAGCTCTGTGTAAACTCGAAAGCTTGTCTCACCCACAGAAGTGGGTCCAATCACCCACCTTCTCTCACTAATATCCTGGGACCAACATGGCTACAATAACACTGCATACAACAATTTTCTTGGCTGTTGAGTCCTACCTCCCAGATATGTGCACACCCACAACACATGCAGGTAATTGCTTAGGAGCAGGGGTATGTATTCTATTTGTAACTGATCAATTGATAAAGTCAGATGGCCAGATCATGCCTTCCCAAAAGTTAAGTGAGAAAATGCAAGTTTGGGAATATTCATTTTATGGGGTAAGGAGTGTTTGTTTATTCAGGGTGGAGATAAAACTAGCCACACACCTTCTAAGCCTCCCTTCCTTCTTTGAAGACAGTGGATACTAGCTACAAGGGGGTTTATGCAGAAGGACTTCTTCAGCATCCAACAGAGGCCACTTTGGCTCCTCTACCCTCTTTCCAACATTTTTAGGCCATTGAGCCTTTCATCTCTTTTCATCTTCTTTGAGAAGTGCAGTGGATGGCAAGTTATGGCCTGTAGCTTTCTTCTTTGAAATTACTTTTGTAATGGCAACACTTGTATTCAGAGAGGTATTTTTTACAGGATATCTTTTCAGCTAATATTTAACAGTTAATTTACAGCTCACAGAAGAAATCTGGACTTCTTAAATTTTAATTATTTTAGGCTTGAATTCCTAAATGCATATTTTAAATCCAATATGTCAAAGTTCATTGTATGACAGTAAATTAATATATCCCATATGCTGGAAACTTGACATGTATAATTCAATATATTTGTTTGAGCCATTGTATAATTTCAAAATATCTCCAGTCTATATTAAAAGTTCACTCTTTAATAGACTATGCTAATTGAATTCTGTTTGATAGCTCCATAATAGCTTTAGGAAGCACAAAACTGTTTTCTATTGGAAAACTACCAGAGATCTTGGCAAACATACTGGAAGCCCCCATAACCTGAAGACAGTTATTAAGTAATTTCTCTCTCTGTATCCCATATCCAGACTCTAATTGCATTTGAAGTCTTGTTTATGAACATTAACTGTGTAAAGTCAATTTTCAAGGAAGTTACACAAGCAGTTCTTTCTCCTTGTGTCACTTGAAATCATTAGTCTTCTACACCATTTCCTTCCACACAAGATGACACCTGACTATTATATGGGTCAGGGAGGGTATGAGGGAGAGCAAATAGCAATGGCATGCTGAACAAGTTATTTCCAGTTGTACCAAACATTCAGCTGCCTTAGGAAATTACTGTGCTGGTGCTCACTTTGCTGATGAATATGTACTTACTTTCTTCTACTTATGCTATGTTTCTTTTGGACAACATGAATGTATTCACAGAGTACCTATTGGCATCTGAATGACATTCCATGTTAGTAGATCCTTCTTTAGGGAAGGAAATAGTTTTCCTTATCCTGGGGCTTGTACACACTAGCACTTACTTTGGTATAACTTAAGTTGCTCGGGGTGTGGAAAAGCCTCCCCCCGAGTGACACAAATTACATCGACCTAAGCGCCGGTATGGACAGCGCTTTATCGGCGGGAGATGCTCTCCTGATGACATAGCTACCGCTGCTCGGGGAGATGGAGCAATTATCGCGATGGAAGAGCTCTCTCCCAGCAGCATAGAGTATCTGCCCTAGCAGCGCTACAGCAGCACAGCTACATTGGTACAACTATGCCACTGGAGCGATTCCAGTGTAGGCTAGCCCCTAGTAAATGAAAATGCAGAGAACCAACCCAATTGAAGTAAATGGGATTATGTGGAATGTAAACCAGTGTTTCCCAACTCAGTGTCAAAGCACCTGCAGTTGGGAATGTGGAAACAGAAGTTGTCTCAAACAATCCAAAATAATGGGATTATAAGCATCGGCATCCTGCTGTCCATTTCGTTTTGGGATTCTACCTTAATTCTATGGCATATATTCTTACAATGTAAAACCACGCCACCAGTTTACCCTTCTTGGTGTGCAGGTAAACTGTGGCAGTCACAATTTTGTGAGTCGAGCTTCATAATCACATACGAAGAGTCGAAGTACAATGGCTATTACTGTACTTGGAATTTCCATAGGCCACCCACTATGATGTGCCTTAGGATTTCTGTCTATGTTGGGATTAAGCAAAGATCCCGTGAATAAATACTATTTCACTGAATTAAAGGCTTTGTCTTATGAACTAATTTAGATATATTAAGCTATTATAACTAGTAATAGTAACCTCTGTAGAGAATGTTTGGTATTTATTTTAGCTTCTTTCCAATGGACACTACAGTTAAGGTTGCATTTTACTTTTTGATAAATACAGGCTTATTCCTGGATCGTGCAATGTATTGTTTCAAGTCATGATTTCACACCTTTATTTTAAGATGACATTTTACAGACTGAATCAAAAATTAAAGTCAGTATTATTGTACTATATTTAAACATAATCATGGATGCTGTTACTCCCATTTAGAGCATTTATATAAACAGAATTGAAAAAGCCTGGAAAATGTTTCGAAATTTTTTTATCGATTACACAATAGCCCCTAGTAAGAATATCTGAGTAATGTTTTGCCATCCTACAAAAAATTTTGCATTAACTTTTTGAAAACTGAAGTTAACAGTTTGGTAATTTTGACTCTGTATTGACACTTTTAATATATTCAACCCATCCTGATATGGGTTGAAAATTGCAATCCTTGTCATTTTCCCAGACTCTGGTTGTGTAAAATTAAGCCATTAAGCAGGCCCTAATACAGTGGATTTTGACAATCAGCATCATGAGTGTTTTCAATTATAATCCTATCTTTTTGTGTGTGTGCTTTTACCATGTTTTTGATTGCTCTGAACCAGAATCACGAGTTTGTGGATGAACATGTCTATGAAGACAGCTGCATGGAGGTATCCACAGTCAATCGATCCTCAAGCGACAGCCCCTCTCTCTCTTCCCAACAAGGGGTTACCAGCACTTGTTGCTCACGACGACACAAAAAGACTTTCCGCATTCCAAACACCAATATAACTGGCAGCCGCCCAGGCAGCATACAAGAACTTAGTACCATTCAGATCAGATGTGTGGAGAGAACATCTCTATCTAACAGGTATTTCTTTTAGTTTTAACAGCAATCTGAGATCCAATGCTATGGCAAACCTTTGCTCAGTAAGGAAGAGGTCTAGATTGTAGTCTAAGTGGGAAGGTGTTATTTGATGCAAATTCAAAATAAGTAAGCCGCATTCCTTAGTATTAATGGGCAAGTGGCTGTCCATTCAAACAAGCATTTATTTTCTTGAGTCTTATTGGGTAGAGGTTCCTAAGCCACACAAGTCTTGAAATGGCAGATCAAGGTAAATAATATGGCCCCAGAGCCTGAGAGGCTTTGCACCTCCAACTGCTATTGGGATTTAGTCTTTGTTTAGCAAACACTTATGCAAGACACAGAAAAAATATTGTAATATTTATTATTTGTATTGCAATAGCACCTAGAGACCCCAGCTGAAATTGGGACCCAGGTGTTCCAGCTTTTGTACAAACATATAAGAGACAGTCTCTACCTGGAAGAGTGTACAATTCAATTATACAAGACTGAAAAAGGGGAGAGTATTATTATTCCTATTCTTAGATGCGGTACAAAGACACAAGAAGATTGTGACATTGTGAAGTTCACAGAGAAAGTTTGTGACAAAGCTGAGACTTGAAACGAGATCTCCTGAATCCCAGTGCAGTTCCCTAGTCTTCAGACCATCCTTCCTCTCTAAAACTATATAATGAATGAGAAAACTATAAACCCTGGCTAGGGACATTATTGGAAAAATTAGAAAAAATGTAGCTCCAGAGGCTAGGGAGCAAGAATTTCCTTATCTTCTCTGCACCCTCATGTATAAAGTACTTGGTTTTGATATTTATGTGTATGGATACAGTCTTTGAAAACATCCGGAAAGTCATGCTAGACTTAAAAGTGTTTGTATGTTGAACTGAAATATACCTTCATTTAAAAAGCATCATTTTCAGCACAGTTTGCTATAGAGATTGATCTTAAGTGAAATTTTGAATAGCTGGCAGGTAAGAAATTCACTGCCATGAGCAACCCAGAAGCTCCTTGACTTGCAGCTGAGGTAATTTTTTCTGCCATTACTCAAGGGTGGTGGAAGGGGACATATTCCTGGAGGTTTAATAATGACCTAATATTTAATTAAAGATTAATCTTTAATTCCCGGAGGGCTGGCAACCATACGTGGAACCAGCATCCACAACCTAGGTATTTCATGAATAATTCTGTCTAGCTCTGACCTGTCTTCTGCTGGGTGACTTTCCAGCACACCCTTCCCTCACAGCAGAAACACAGAAGAATTAAAAACAACAATACACATATACAGATAGGAGTAAATCTCACAATCCAATGAATTTAGATTTTAACTGTCTCTTACTACTTGTCCCCCAAGAACAAATATACAGTCCACCCAGCAGCTCAGTGTGCACATGAACCCACCCTCAGGTGCATGGCTAAACTGATAATTGTGAATACAAAATACTGTGAGTCACTGCTCATGTGATTACAGATAGTTCAGTAGCTCACAAAGTCTGGAGCAAAGAGCAAGGGACTGCTCTGTTACTGACTTGCTGTGTAACTTTAGATAAGTCACTTAACCTTGCCAGGTGTCACTTTCCCTCTACTGTGGCCCAGATATACCTCCACCCCACCCCGACCTCCTTGGTGGACAAAGAAAGCTCTAAATGCACTGGAACGGTTACTTTTTAGTGTGGAAGAAGGGGAAGGAAGGAAGCAGGGGCTTGCACAAAGCTTAAGGTGGGGAGTACAGTGCAGATTGGAAAAGGAGGGTATGGAGCACAGGAGAGGAAGGCTAAAGGCATGCCCAATGGAGCAACTACTACACAGCTAGTGAGCACTAAGCTAGAAAGTGTGCAGGACCCTAGCTGTTGTTACATCCCATGGGGCTGTAATGGTAGCTTTGCAGCTGCTCTGCATGAGGTCCCTGAGGTGGACAGATTCCTTCATCCCAGTCCTTCCCCATCATCTATCTTACCATTCATATTTGTGAGCTAGCTATTGTTACTTGGCCCATATTGTTCCAGTCAAGTGACCAGTTACTGGCTGCCATGTTGAAGTACCATCTGAGCTAATGAATGTCACCTTCTCCTACTCCGCCCAGACAGGGCAGAAAACTTGCATTCGTCTGCCCTACCTGAACCTGGTTTCCTTCCACCCTCACCACTCTTCCTTAGACACAGAGCTGGTGAGTCACAATTGTGCCCATCAGCATGAAAGCACTGCTGGTTGTACCTCTTGAAGCAATAATAGGTGGCAGTGGTTGGGGCATAGGCACCAGAGACGGTTGGGGGAGGGGTGCAAAGGGCTATTGCCCTCCCTTACTTTTCAAGACCTGGTTGAGAGGATGCATGCTGCAGCCTGGCCCAGCTGGCCAGCCAACACCAAGGTCCCACTCGATGTTGTGCCAATAGCTGGGCCCTCACCTGCCAAAACTGCAGCTCCTCTTGGTGCCAGGGACTGGTTGGATCCAGGCAGTGGGATGGCACCTTCATCCAGGGACCTTGGTCGGGCCAGCAGGGAGTGTAAGATTAGGAGAGGGGGAGCCAGGGCTCCAGGAGGGATGGGCTGGTGGGGGGGTGGGAGGGCTTGGCCCCCACACTTTTGCAGTCTTTCCAGCACCCGTGGGTTGGTGTGACAAACTGGATCAGCCATCTACACTGCAAAGAAAAACCTGTAGCTGGCCCCTGCCACCTGACTCAAGCTCACGGGGCTCGGGCTGTTGGGCTCTTTTGTTGCGGTGTAGACTTCCAGGCTCAGATTGCTACCTGAGCTGTGGGATCCTCCCAGCTCACAGGGTCCTCAAGTCTGGGCTCCAGCAGAGCCCAGAAATCTATGCTGCAATGAAGCAGCCCCACAGCCTGTGTCAGCTGGCACGAGCCAGCCACGGGTGTCTAACTACAGTGTAGACATACATAGGGAGTGAGCATAGGCCAGTGGATAGGGTTGGGAGTCAGGCGAGGCTATTTTTAGGACTACATTTGAAATTGCTGATGTCTGTCTTTTATGAAACGGCAATGTGGTGTCAAGGCCTTGCAGGTAGGTCAGTGCACCTAGCAAGGGTAACGCTATTGGTAACACCTAATGTGGGTCTCGTTTGTAAAGGTTTGGGGGGCACAAAGCTACTGTTCTTTTGGCAGCATAGGAAGGCAAGTCGGGAAGGGTGTCAGTGAGGGATGGAGGATTTCTATGGTAATGGGGGACCTAGCTGGATTCCTCCTGTTCACTTTCAGTTACCGTGACCCAGGGCCGGCCCACAACATTTTGGCACCTGAGGCAGGGAGCTCCAATGACGCCCCCATGCCTCCTCGCTTGGGCCAAAACTTTGAAAGGTCTTAATTCTGCCTTCTTCCTGTTCTACTCCTACTCCTCTCATGGTACTGCTCTGCTACCTACCCCAATAAAGGAGAACTAACAACTTAAAATGCCTTGTTCAAAAATTTTAAGTAACACTTAACTTTCAAATGTAACTTTTCTTGTCTGCATAGTAAACACTGGCATTTTTATCTGTTTGAATAATCAAAGTGGTGCTTTCTGTGCCTTCTTGGTTGCAAAGATTTGAACTACTTCCTGAAGGTCCACAGTCTGGGCCAGCTCATGTTCTATTCAGATGGTTGCATGGCCGACCAGCCTCGCCTGTGTCATTGTGGAGTGTAGATGTGTTTTTATTAACTTCAGCTTGGAGAAGCTGCGTTCTCCACTGGCAACTGTTTCAGGAAGCGCAGAGCAACAAAAGTATTTGGAAAGAGGATGGTCATTTTATTTGTGCACATATATTCCAGAACAGCCTTTGGAGTTGATCCTGCTGAAATGTATCTTGAAAGGGCTTTCAGTTCATCACCTAAATCACTCGCATCAATATAGTACATGTCAGCATGTGTCAACACTGTCTCTAGTGCCCTGCATTGCTGGTGTAGGTCTTCTTCAGATATAGTATGATATTCCAAAACTCCTCACAACATCCCAAATATACTGCTGTGTTCTTTGAGCTGCATGAAACGTTCTTCAACTGACTGTATTGCACAATCTAGCACCTGGTTAAAGAATTCAGCTTTGAATTGTTGTTTGGGGTCTCTTATGGGATTATCCCGTGCCTCGTAATCAAAATGTCTTCTTCGGTGACTCTTGTATTCTTGAATGGGTGGGAAAATAGCTTTAGTGTGAAGTTCCTCTGCCAACTTCTGTGCACTCTTCAGAACGTTTTGAAATCCCTCATCTGACCAGTAAGACTGTAGGTATGACTTTGCTTTGTCCAGTTGTTCCATTGCTCCAGATATATCAAGGTCAACACCTTGGAGTCTCTTGCTTACAACATTTATTTCAGTATGTCATGCCACAACACTAAGCCACACAGAAATTTGAAGTTGGGTATGTTTCTGGTGATTCCATTTCCCTCTGCCACTGTTCTCCCACGAACAGTTCCTGTCGTAGCATTATCCTCCATAATGGCAACTATGGCATCATCTATCTTCCCAATTTGGTGTTTAATAGGCTTTATCACCTCCACTTGACTTTCCCATCATGTGGCACTCAGTGGTTTCAGTGTCAGAGAGGATGTTCCCAGATGTTGCTTCAAAATTTGCCATCAATGAGTTGACACAGAGAAAAATACATAGATGCTTTGAATTACATTAAAAAATTCAGAAGCCTCACTAGAAGCTGATGCTGTATCACTGACCACCAAGTTCAATGAATAAGAACTGCATGGGACAAAAAAAGCTCCAGGGTTTAACTCTCGGATCCGTGTCTGCACTCCTCTGTTCTTTCCTCTCATGTTGGCACCATTATCGTAGCCCTGACCTCTCATGTCAGCTATCGCAATTCCTATATCTTCCAGCTTTTTAAGAAGCCACATTGGGTTCTACAGGAACAAAGGACTGGAAAAATCTGGCTAGAAATCTGGCATGCCATGAGAAGGCAGCAAATCAACAGAGAGCATTCCGTAGGTGGAAAGAGCTTGAGATGAGACTAAGGTTAAAGGCCACCATAGATGATCAGCATCAAGAGAAGATTGCATCAGAGTCTCTTTACTGGCAAAATGTTCTGAAAAGGCTCATTGCCATTGTGAGAATGCTTGCTACCCAAAACCTAGCACTGTGTGGCAATTAAGATCAGCTGTATGTGCCAAACAATGGAAACTTCCTTAAAATTGTAGAGCTGATGGCTGAGTTTGATGCTGTACTCCAGAAGCATCTAAGAAGAGTCACCACCCAAGAAATGTACACACACCACTACCTTGGAAAAACAATTCAAAATAAGATCATACAGTTACTGGCAACAAAAGTCAAACAGAAGATTGTGTCAGATCTGAAGTCAGCAATATATTACTCTGTTATTCTAGACTGCACACCTGACATCAGCCATATGGATCAAATGACTTTAATGGTGTGTTTTGTAACAACACAGAACCTAGTGAAAATGTCCCTGCAATGGTGACTGTCAGAGAGCATTTTCTAGAATTTATTGCTCCTGTAGTATCATCAATGTCAATGATTTGCTGTCTTCTCATGGCATGCCAGATTTCTAGCCAGATTTTTCCAGTCCTTTGTTCCTGTAGAACCCAATGTGGCTGGAACAAAACAGGATGCAGCATTCTGGGTTTTTGAGTACATAAGCCATGACCTCTCCACTTTGTCACCGTTGGGGATTTCATGCCAGTAATGTGTTGGATGGAAACTTCTATTTTCATTGTCTTTGGGGAACTTGAAGTTTTTCACTTGCTGTGATCCATGCAGTACAAGGAAGTCCCTCAGGTTACTGCTCAAGTGGGTCCACAGTCCAGGATCATCTAGACTTAAGGAACTAAACTCAGCAGGGGGTGGGGGTGTGGATAAGGGTTGGGACAGTCAGGGGACAGGTAGGGGGGTAGGGTCCTAGGGGGCCAGTTAGGATGTGGGGAAGGTCTCAGGAGGAGGCAGTCAGGGGACAAGAAGGGGGGTAGGGTACTAGGGGGCCAGTTAGGATGTGGGGAAGGTCTCAGGAGGAGGCAGTCAGGGGACAAGAAGGGGGGTAGGGTACTAGGGGGCCAGTTAGGATGTGGGGAAGGTCTCAGGAGGAGG